ATTTCTCAGATTCCTGTGTTTCAAAATGAAGCCGATCCAGGAACAACACAAAGCTGCTTCTTCTTTCCATGATGTTTTCTTAATGATTCATAAAGACCCACAGAACAACCTATAAAGAACAAACAGATAAATGCAAGACAAGATCTCGTCCCTCTTACCCCTTTCTCATTCCAGCCTTGCACTGATTTAGCTCAGTTTGCTTTAGTTGTGTTACATCTAATTTACTGTGATATCCACAGAGATTCAGGCCGGGAGTTTAGCTCAGACTAATGGATTTAAATCCTCCTGGGCTTCTCCCCCCAGCTTTCATTGGAGGCATCCCACCACTGCAGCCAAGGAATGAAATCAGCCCACAAAAGTGCATCACAGCAGAGTTCTCTCCGCACATCTGGTTTTAATAGCTCACACGGAGGAAGGAGAATGTGCAGTTTGCTGGGAAAGGAATCGCTGCCAGCTGAGAGGTCAGCACAGCCAGACAGATCCATGGAGCTGCTGGGGAGCTCAGGAACACTGGGATGTGCACACACGTGTGCTCAGAGGAAACACTTGCACTTCCATTTGAGAGAAGGGAGAAGCAAAGCAAAAAGAAATCACAAAATCTGCCCAAATGTGTCCTTAGCAGTGACAGCATCCGAGGTCAGTGATGGGGTTGTGTCACTGCTGAGCTGGTGATGATGCTCAACCAGCATCTGGCCACCAAAATCTAAAATCCTGAGAGCTGTGAGGACTCAGGAGGAAGCCATACAGAGCAGCATGCAGGGAGAATAAAAGCAGCAATTTAATTTCACCTGTCTGCCAGCCTGAATTTTAATAAAGCAGCATGTGATCCTCTTGCCTTTTGAGGCTTTTATGTGTGGGAGCAAGAAGGAATCCCACAGTTGGTCAGTACTTATTTTACTGAGGAAAATGTGTCTGTTGGTGCTGAGTTCCTCCTGACAAGAGAGACATGTTCTGTGGAAGCCTTCAATCTGGGAAGAGAGAAGTCAAACTCCTAAGTGAAACTTTAAGTAAATACATTATTTTTCATTTAATAATATTATCAATCATATTCATAATTATAGTTATAGATTATATATGAGGAAGCACAGTAATTCATGGCGGGAAAAGTAATGACTGGAACCTGCTTAAACAGAAGGCAAAAGGAAGCACGAGGAACATGGTGTACCACGGAAACAAGCACATTTTCTAAAATACATATTCTCTGTTCACCTAAGTTCCCATTTTGACCAAATACTGGAAAACATAACAGTCTTATGATTAATATCATGTTTTCTGCATGCTGTAAATAGATGTTCAAAGTCACTTACATATGTGTGTAATTTAGTTACAGAATTGATCTGTGGCCATTCTCAGGTGTAGCAGCTCAAAATCATCCTCACGGGGGAGGGAAGCCTGTAATAACAACATACAAGGGTGGAGCATTAAAATTCTCTTAAAAACAACAGGTAGGGCAGCAAAAGCCACGTGGTTAGGAAATAATTGTTTCTATTAAAGGTGTACTTTCACACTTGGGAAAATGTCAAGTGTTTTTGCAAGGCCTGACCATTTTTTCCATGCAACTGTTATGTAAAACCCACACTGAAGTGGTGAATTTTAAGCAGCTTAGTTTGTTAGTTACCCAGATGGAATCCTGTACCTCTAGGGACACCAGCCAGTGCCCAATCTAAAATATAAATATTCTTAAACATAATCCCTTGTCAGGACTTGTCTGATAGCCCAGGGGACTCAATTCATCTACGTGACAGTATTTCTGTGACTGCCAGTCCCATGTCATAACATCTAAAGGCTCCAATCTATACACTCCTCAGGCCTTTGAAGGAACATTCCAGCTCTCTTATTCCTAAAATGGAAGTATCTTTCTACTTGATGTATCCCTTTCTGTAGGATCACAGCCTGTAGGAATGCTCTGCTGACAATCAAATAGCAGCAAAATAGGAAATCCAGCGATGTTGGAAAATAACTGGTTTGTGGAGGAACAGTGACATCCCGTGGCCACCGAGTAAACCTGAATTCCTGCTGCTTTCGAAACAGCCTCCATGGGAAATAGCCAAAAATAGCCAAAAAAAAAAAAAAAAAGGAGAAACAGTTGCAGGCGCACACCTGTGAGAATTAGAGCCATTCACTTACTCTTTATATCAAAATAGTTAACAGAAAGTCACCTAATTTAAAAACTTATATTCCAAACAAGGCTGGTTTGGATGATGCAGCAATATTCCACACACATAAAACAAGGCAGCCAAGGATCTTTGAACAGAGCCTTTAGAATTGTGGGACATGGCTGCAGAAATACTGAGGAATTTATTCCCAATGCTTATCTGCCTTAACCCTCACTTGCCCTATATGGGGCAGTTGCTAATAGAGCAAAACACCAAATGCATCCAGAAACCCATATAATGGGTTATTTGTCTTTTTATGGATATAGGTAATTATTTTAAAGCACAGAAGACAAAACCCCTGAAGTCTTGGCTGGGGGGTTTTGTTGTTTGTTTGATTTGGGGAGTTTTGTTGTTGTTCGGTTTTTTGTTTGGTTTTTTTTTTTTGGTTGGTTGGTTTTGGGGTTTTTTTGAGACATCAGACTAGAAATTAACTGGAGCAATAAGAAAAAAACGAAATGCCAGTCATAAAGCTCAGCTTGCAGCAGGATTAAAAGACAATATCAGAATCTGTTGTCAGCCTGTGGGAGCATTAGGATCGTTCTCATACCTGGATGCATTCCTGTGTCACCTGCTGCAGGTGACCCTGCCTTGGCAGGGGGTTGGACTGGGTGATCTCCAGAGGTTCCACCCAACCCTAACATATCTGTGATACGGAATCTGGCTAAAACCTATTAAATTCTTATTTTAGTTATGAATAGTTGTCTCTAAGTAGATTTTTGAGGTACCACCACACTGTAAGAATAAAAAAATGTATCTTAACCATTCATATTGCCTGATCTCTTACTTCACCTTTTGTTAATAACTTCAGTGTAATTAATGCATGTTATGCAAATTCATATTCACATTTCCTTGTATCTTCTATAAAATTCCCTAAGTCACATAAAATTTAAGATAAACTGCAAATTTTTTTTTTATTAACAAAGAAGTCCCTGCAGTCATCTCTTCACCCCCCTGACTGTTATCCCTCCGTCAGCTGAGGATCAGCAGCCTCAGTAACACAGCTCCTGCAGGGACACAGAATTCCAGCACTGGTGTCCCCGTGTCCTCACAATGATCCATTCCTAAGTCCAGCTCCACACCTCACCCAGGTACTGCTGTAACACGACAGCACCTGGGGACTTCACTCCTTGTACTCTGGCTCTAAGAATGAGCTGCTCTGTGCTGTTCCTAGTGAGCCAAATGCAGAGTTCAGTAACTCCCAGCACAAGCCCCACCTGAGGAAACAAATCTTCCTGCAGGGCTGGGGAAACCTGAGCAGCGTGTGCAGCAGTTACCAGGCAGCACAGCTTCCTTATCAGGTGGACTTGAGAAGGACTTTTATGAGCCAGAGAACATAAAGCAGCCAGTCTTACCATGGAGCAAATCAGCAGCAGGAAAAGATAAGAATGTAAATGTATTCACTGCCAAATCTCCTCTGGACTATGAACTGCTCAGGGACTGTGTAACAGAGAGCAGGCCTATGGACAGACACTCTGTTGGAATGAGTCAGGCAACGGCTGGTGCTGGAAGGGACGTCTGGAGGTCACTTTGTCCAGCCCCCTTCTCAACCAGGGCCACCCTAAATTGGTTGCTCAGAATTATTTCCGTGGGTTTTGCCCATGAGTTTTTAGTATCTCACAGGAAGGTGCCCGTGGGCAACTGGCCCAGGTGGCTCAACTGCACAAAGCATAAAATCAAAGGCAAAATTGCAGGAAAACTTAAAACTAAGGAAGGTATCTCCTGGGGTAGAGATGAGTGTTGACATAACTTTATATTTCTGCTAGCACAGTTATGTGCAGCACACAGGGAAGCAAACCTCACTCCTAAAAACCCAAATATATTATCAGGGCTGTAACCACATTGAATTTAGTTACCATGTGCAGTTTTCTATGAAATTAATAACTTCTTGGCCTTTCTGTTAAGTGCAGCACTTACCACAGACACAGCGAAGTTACACCAAAAGCTGAAATTCAAGAGGAGCACTTTCACAGCAGCACTACTGTGGACAAAAAAGTTGACCAAGACAGTGCATAATTCAGGGCTATTGGGGAAAAGTGAAGGGCAGCAGCACAGAATCACTGTGCACTGAGCAGATGAGGCCAAGCCTCCCCCTTCAAGATAAGCAGCCAACAAAACTTAGCAGGTAAAGACACTGATAGGAACCATCCTTCCAACCTGGGTAGTTTCTGTGGAAGGGCACATGGATAATTTCATCCATCTTTTAAGACCCAGTTAAACTAAACCAGCCCAACCCCACCTGTTTAGGCAAGTTTTCTTAACTCAGCCCCCCAAAAATAAAACAAACCTCCCTCCCCACCCCAAACCAATAAGGAGACAACCCAGATTTTAATGGAACTCCCTCTCTTTCAGCACTAAATGATTGTGTAAAACTTCTACCTAAATCAGGCAGTTGTTACACTGCTAAGTCACATTTAATATTTAAAAAGAAGTTTCAGTAGGGCCAGTGAAGGGCACCTTCCCACCCAGCATAAGGCAACTCCCAGTGCCAGCAATTCCCCCCCAGATCATCACCCTTCCCACCCACCTCTCAGGACCAGCTGAGATAAACACACTACAAGTTTACAACTTGCAGCAAAACCCACCTCACTGGAATGACCAGCACACTCCTTTATTCACTCTGTGGCTTTTTGGGGTCTTTAAAGAACTTATCCCAACTAGAAACATTAAACTCTAAGAATAAGAAACAACATGGTATTAGCACTTAAATTAAGATTTTAATCCAGATCCATTTTAACCACAAGGTTGGTCCTCATCATACATGCAGAGAAGCTTAAACTGCCACAGAAAGAAGGCAAAGCATTTAAAACACCAGTTTTACTTGCTTGAACTGAGACAGACTACAGGTTTTAATGTGCAACAGAAAACTTTATTAGCATTTCAACAGACAGCTGTTCAGCAGTTACTCAAGCTTGCATTAACCTTGCATTAACTTAATATTAAGACATTGAAAGAACTACAGTGCAAACATTAAGTGCCACTGGCAATCCTGTTGTCAAGCAAGATGCACAACGACTTAACAGCCCCCCCTGAGGCGCAGCACGAGGTGGAGGGTGGATTCCTTCTGGATGTTGTAGTCAGAGAGGGTGCGACCATCCTCCAGCTGCTTCCCAGCAAAGATCAGACGCTGCTGATCAGGAGGAATGCCTTCCTTGTCCTGGATCTTGGCCTTCACATTCTCGATGGTGTCACTGGGCTCAACTTCCAAGGTGATGGTCTTGCCAGTCAGGGTCTTGACAAAGATCTGCATCCCACCCCTGAGGCGCAGCACAAGGTGCAGGGTGGATTCTTTCTGGATGTTGTAGTCAGAGAGGGTGCGGCCATCTTCCAGCTGCTTCCCGGCAAAGATCAGCCTCTGCTGGTCTGGGGGAATGCCCTCCTTGTCCTGGATCTTGGCCTTCACATTCTCGATGGTGTCACTGGGCTCAACCTCGAGAGTGATGGTCTTACCAGTCAGGGTCTTGACAAAGATCTGCATCCCACCTCTCAGACGGAGCACAAGGTGCAGGGTGGATTCTTTCTGGATGTTGTAGTCGGACAGGGTGCGACCATCTTCCAGCTGCTTCCCAGCAAAGATCAGACGCTGCTGATCAGGAGGAATACCTTCCTTGTCCTGGATCTTGGCTTTGACATTCTCGATGGTGTCACTGGGCTCAACTTCCAGGGTGATGGTCTTGCCAGTCAGGGTCTTCACGAAGATCTGCATCCCACCTCTCAGACGGAGCACAAGGTGCAGAGTGGACTCCTTCTGGATGTTGTAGTCGGACAGGGTGCGACCATCTTCCAGCTGCTTCCCAGCAAAGATCAGCCTCTGCTGGTCTGGGGGAATGCCCTCCTTGTCCTGGATCTTGGCCTTCACGTTCTCAATGGTGTCACTGGGCTCAACCTCGAGAGTGATGGTCTTGCCAGTCAGGGTCTTGACAAAGATCTGCATCCCACCCCTGAGGCGCAGCACAAGGTGCAGGGTGGATTCCTTCTGGATGTTGTAGTCAGAGAGAGTGCGACCATCTTCCAGCTGCTTCCCAGCAAAGATCAGACGCTGCTGGTCTGGGGGAATGCCTTCCTTGTCCTGGATCTTGGCCTTCACATTTTCAATGGTATCACTGGGCTCAACTTCCAGGGTGATGGTCTTGCCAGTCAGGGTCTTGACAAAGATCTGCATCCCACCTCTCAGACGCAGCACAAGGTGCAGGGTGGATTCTTTCTGGATGTTGTAGTCAGAGAGGGTGCGGCCATCTTCCAGCTGCTTCCCGGCAAAGATCAGCCTCTGCTGGTCTGGGGGAATGCCCTCCTTGTCCTGGATCTTGGCCTTCACATTCTCGATGGTGTCACTGGGCTCAACCTCGAGAGTGATGGTTTTGCCAGTCAGGGTCTTCACAAAGATCTGCATGTTGACCTGCAAGACATACAGGTGCTTCAGCTACAGCTATTTAAGTAAAGCCTTTAGTAAATCCTAAATAAAGGGATTACTGTTGCTGTTTTGTAATACATAAATACCAATTAGAATTATTTTTTTTTAAAGTCAATTTTCTACAACTGTTCTCCAACTTGAATAACTAACCCTCTTTTTAAGGCACAGGCTGCTGTGTTCCTGTAGGAGATTCCTTACCCTGCCTTTTACCAGAGTCCCCTTTCACCCAGACAGCCCCCTCTTCACCCCCACAGAGCAGCACCGCGGCGCCGGAGCCCCCAGGCCCCTTTACGTTCCCCACCCCGCAGGGCAGCACTGGGGCCCTCCAAACCATCCCGCAGAGCAGCACTGCGGCACCTGAGCACCAAACCCCCGCGCACTGCGGCACCGGAGCCCCCGGACCCCCCTTACACATCCCCTTCTCAAAGCAGCCCTGCGGCACCGGAGGCCCCGGACCCCCCGGGATCCGCCCTGCGGCGGTGGGGCCACTCCCCCGCCCCGGTCGTGACTCACAACCGCCTTCCGGCCGAGGCAGCTCAACCCCCGCCATCTTCCCCACAGCGACACCGCCTGCCCGCCCAGCACTTATTCTGATTCCCCCTCCCCCCCCCCCCCCCCCCCGATCTCCCCCCACTACACTCACGTCGCCGGCCCCGAACGATGAATCCTCTGAAAGTCTCCTATCGCTGCAGCTCAGCTCTGCCGAGTGACGCACACCCGCCCCTATTTATCGGGTAACAGACACACAGTCCCCGCCCACCCAAACCAACGTGTCCATCCGCCTCGCAAAGTAGTCCCCAGGAAAACACCGCTGTTATGGAAAATACTCGCCTTCTTCCCGCTCCAATCTCTCTTCTAGGCAAAAAGGGGGTCCTGAAGTCTCAGTGAGGGGGCTCAGATCCGTAAAAATCCATAAATTTCTGAGGGCGCGGATGGATCTAGAAGTGTCCTCCCCGAGGCGCTGCAGTGAGGCGGCCGTAGGGCGACCGGGAAGTCCGTCGGTGATTGGTGCGGCGTGACGCAGGGCAGGCGCTGATTGGCTGACGCGAGGGGCAGTTGGCGAGGGGCGGGGGCGGCAGTTGCAGGGGAAGCTCTGGAAGCTTCGGCGCCGCTTGGCGCTGATTGGTGCGCGGTGAGGTCACGCTGTTGCTAAGGGGGCGCCGCCTGGTGGGGCAGATTTCGGGGATCGGCGGCGGGGGGGGCGGGGGGCTCAGGAGGAGGGGAAGCCCGGACCCTGAAGGGATAGGGACAGGGATTGGAATTGTGTGGCACTGTGGCTTTTTAACCCCTGCCTTAACCCTAGCAGTGCTCAGGGAAGAGCCTGAAATGGACTTGAGCAAAGGTGCCCCCCAAAAAGGGGGGCGACCCTTGGTGCCAGCGATTTGCGACCCCCAGCGCCTCTGACCGACTCCTTCCCTGGGGCGGCTGAGAATTCACGGGAAAGCCTAGAACAGTCTGTAGGGCTGGTCCTGTCCTATCGGGCTGAGAGGAAAAGCCGGGAAAAGCAGGACTGAGTTGGCAAAGCTGGTGAAATACATAATTTAGGAGTTTGGGGAGAGGTGGTGGCTCCCGGTGCGTCACACGAGCGGCCCCAGTCACGCGGCCCAGCTCCTGAGCTGCCCTTGGAACTGGCTGGAACCGGGCTGACCGGTTAATTCTCTAATGTGAGCCTGCAAAACAAGCCCCGTGATGAAATGCTGACATTTGTAATTCAAATGCTTGTTTACTCGCCTCCAGAACAGGAAGCTTTGATCGGTTATGGAGCAACTTCCTTCTGTGTGCTGATTTGGAAATGTGCCCCCGGTTAATTAAGCTTCATCATACCTTTCAGTCTGTCTCTTAACTCATTTTATGTCATATTAAAGCTGGATACGCAAAATCCAAGAAGGTTTTAATGTGTTTTTTAGCAGCTTTACCTGCTGTTTCTTCAGGGAAGGCAGATGACCTTGTTCAATCCTCCCCTCACAAAGCATCAGCACTCGTGTGACTGGCAAGATTCAGCACAGAGCTGCTCTATTTCCCCCTAAAAAAACCTCAAACCTAGACAAAAATACAAAACCACCAAAAAACCTCAACAACAACAAAACCCTTTTGCTTTCCTTTCTCCTAACAGGGTTTCTAGAACTGCCTGCTTTACAGTAAAAAGGAAATAAATCATCCTACCAGTAATTACTTGCACTGTAGAAACAGGAAGAGGGAAAAATGGTTACTGGAATGTTCAGAGACAGCTCCATGGCAATAGCCAACCTTGGAAATATTATTTGGCTACATAAATTTAGGGCAAAAGGCAGAGTTGGGCAATTTCCCATTTGTATGCTTTGTGCTGCCAGTTTTGCTCAGTTTTTCCACCAGGCTGGTTTTCTTTGGTGGTGCCAGGGGGACTGAATGTTTGCTCCAAGGCTGGCCTGGGCATGCTGTACATCCCAGGCTCTGCTCCAGGGACAGATTCTGCCATGGAGTCTGGAGAGGCCACAAGGAACTAATATTTACAAATGTGAAATGCCACGTCTGTAAAGCTGGAGATGAACCACAGGCTAATGTAAAGCCTGGGCAGTGTTTGAGCACATCAGACTTGTATTAAGGATTTCACTGTGCATGTCTCTCTTTTTAATGTCCTTTCTGTATAAACCAAAAAGCAGAGGAGCCTTCCCTTGTGTTTTTTTTTCCTAAGAATGGCTAAATCCTATGGTGTGGGAACTGCTGTGCTTGTACAAAGCACGTGTATTTAACAAACATTCCACTCTTCCTCCAGCAGCTCTTGGTGAATAAAAATCATCAAGCAGCTGACTCTGAACTGTATATAAATAAATGCAAAGCTGAAAAAAACCAGAAATCTGTATCTTGTGACTGGCCTGGCTGCACAGGTGGCTCCAGCCTTCGCCAGGGCACGGGGCCTGCAGTTGGGAACACAGATTTCTTTCCAAGTGGTTTCAAAAGTAGGTCACTGGGCAGTAGTACAAAGCAACCTACTTTCAGGAGAAGAATCTGGGGTCAGGGAAATGTTTCCAACGAATCTGTACATTCTGGAACACAAGCTGGGGCTGCTTTTTATGTAGGCTAGTGTCCTAGCAATGAGGATCATTTTTCCATGAGCACTGTGGACTGAAGCAATCTGTTTATCTTTAGTTACAGGGTTTAGCTTGGGACAGCCAGTCAGGCCTTCTGAGGGTGTGTAGCAAGTCCAGTTACTGTTCTTTGTTCAGGCAAAAATAGGGCTACTTGCCACAGGGAAAAAAACAACATATATAAACTATATATATATATTCTTATCTCATAACATTACTCACACCTACCTCAGATCTCTCTCACTGTGTATAACACTGGATAATTATATTTAGTTATTTACGGTTGTGGAGATAAATATATTCTCCCCAAGCCTGTAACACTGCAATAAGACCCAGACTTTGCTGAAGTTCCACCCACGAGACAAACAGACTCGTGGCATGTTACTGCTTGTCCCTGTGCTGCCAAGTTCAAGGGTTACAAAAATAGTGAGTCATAATTCTAGGTACTGTGAGATTGACTGTAATATTATGAGATTACCAAAAAAAGACAACTCTCTGAGTTTTGTTTTTAAAGCCTTGGGCTAAAAAAAAACCTTCAATAAACAAAGTTTTTAATAAGCTTCCAACTTCAGGAACTGAAAGCTTAAGAAAAACAAATAGACTGGTAGTAAAAAGAGGAAAATGAGGGATACTCCTCTGACTCCCTGTTTGTTTAAAGAATATTTTAACTTTGCAGGACACATGGGATCCAGCTGTAAGATCTGTGCTGCCCTGATAAACAGGCTTGGGCACGTCTCTCTCTGCAGGTCTGAATGACCCAGAGGAACATGTGCCAGTTCACTCTGCTCCGATGGAAGGAGACTTACAGAGGGCATTTTATAAAGCCACCATTGGGCTAAAATCACAGGCTTGTGTCTGCATGTTGTGCCAGTGAAAGCAACAACTAATAACTAGGTCTATTCTAAAAATTACTTGTCTGCATGTCTCCAGTCTGCCTCCTGCCCGTGAGTGTTTTGGATCCGATCCAAGCTGCAGTGCAGGGAGGGAGCTCTTTGTTCACGTCCTCTCTGCTGCCTCGGAGCCCTTTGAGCTTGTGGTTTCTGGGGTGAGGAATTTCAGGGGGATAGCAAAGAAGCACCTTGAAAAACAGACAGACAGACAGACAGAAGTAAGTCCTAAAATGCTGTTAATCATTGTTGATATGTTCAATAGAACCCTTGTGACAGTGAACAAAACCAAACACTGCCGAGGCTGTTCTGACCAGGCTTTATCCATTGGCCCAGGGGTGATACCTCCTGCACTTTGTTTTCAGATCCAGCTTGGATCCCTTGATGGTGAGGAGAATGTCCAGAATGCTTCCCCCTCTACCAGAAGACTAAAATCCAAGTGCTGACATTTTTCTCCCCTGAACAAACCATGTAGTTTTAACAACCTGTTCTTTTTGGTGTGGTGTCAGCTGCACACAACTCCTAGTCCCCTGCTTATTAGATAAAAAACATCACACTTCCTAATTCCCTTTCATCCACAAACATGTAGCTGCTTTCAGTGTTGCTTTGGGGATGAAAATGCTCCTACAGACAGAATTTCAATGTGGGCTGTGAGCCAGAGCTGCAGAGCTGAGTCATTGTTATACAAGCAGAGCTGAGATGGCACAAAAAAAGCCCTTTGTACTTTAACACTGGAACACGTCAACTGTTGGACTTTGAGTATCACAAGCCACCTACACAGAGAACCAACTGTGATTTACTGGACTTTTCCTCTTGTCTATCCCATCATCTGTCTAGATAATTCTTCCTTCTCCATTTTGCTTCACAAGCTTAAGAACAAATACATTTTTCATCAAGCTGTTGGCCTCTACTAAAGTCTGGCAAACATTGCATCAGCTTTGGAATAATGAAATGAAAGCTCTTAACTCTCTGGACAGTAGGAAGCACCTGCTGCCCAGGTACACTGACCATACTGTGTGTGATCATTGAAATTTAGGGCTTTCAACTCAGAATACCTGTGAAATTTGTCATCATCCAGAGCTCTAAGGTAAAGCTCTTGAACTGATTATTTATGTGAGAGCCAATTTTGAGCTCTGAGAATCCTCTGTAATAAAATAAGGAACAAATGAAAAAGGAGGAAGAATTTCTTTACTGTGGCCTTGGGAAACCAAACTGCATTTTGTTCTTCCATTTTTGTCTTCCAGTTCTTTATCCTGAAACATCACAGGGGAACAGAATTTAGCTTCTCAAAACGCTTTCTACATTTAAAATAAGCTGAATTAATTGTGGAGGGGCACAGAGAGTGACAGATTTGCAGATATTACAAGGACTGCAAACTCAGTAGAGTTTTCTCCCTGGAACTGCTTTTTGAACGTGTACAAGTGCAAGTGGCTCCTGTCTTAAAGAGAGAAGGTAATTTCCGTGAACTGATCACTAACAAGCTCCTAAAATATGTTCTGGATTTCAGTGTAGAGCAGTTCAGTGTTTTTAGGACAGGACAGACCATGTAGGCTGAAACCTGTGCCTGCTGCTGGCTGTCTCTGTGCCAAAGGGAAACGAACCCTCGCTGCAACCTGCACAGGCTCAGTTTCAGTGCGTTTCCAGTTTCACCTCAGCGGCTTTTTCCTCCCAAAATATAAGGTGACTAACACAAAATCTAGTGTGACTAAAGGTCTGGGAGTGGCTCAGATCAGGAGCTGCAGATGAACACGCTGGCATGGGCCAGAATTTGTCACACAGGGTGTATTAAAATGGTTCCATTAGAATGAGTAACCAGTGCAGAGGTTCACGAGGGATAACAGGAAATTGCAACTCAGTGCCCTTTCCTATCATGGGAGAAGTGCTGAGCCACAGGATTGTTATGCAAATCCTGGCATGTGCCATCTCAGGAGGCAGCCTGCACACTGTGGTAGCATGTTTTTAAAGCTCTTTTCCAGACCAGAGAGTGCTGATAGATGTTTCATTCATCATTGTCCTGTTGCTTTGACATATTCCTGGCTGAGACCTGACCTTCTGCCTCTCCACAAACCGTCAGCTCAGTTGTTTACATCTTTCCCCGTTCCCCTTCTTGGAAAGGGCAAGACATTAAGTCCTGTTGAATACAACTCCTTGATTAGAAGTCAAACAAAATAAACGTCCAGTCCTGCGACACTGGACACAAAGTTCATCCTTGGAGTGATTTTTTCCCCCCCAACCAAATGTGACTTGGACACCTCCAAAATTTAGACCTTTCCCTGCATTGAATAGTTTTACTTGAGAAACAGCATTGGCTTTCAGATGTTCAGGAATAGCTTTTTGTGAGATATTTACCACTAGTGGAGTGATTTCACATTTTCCTAAGGTTTTTTCTTTGTTGGTTTGATTTGGGCTTTTGATTATTTGTTTTTTGGTTGGTTTTGGTTTGTTTTTTTTTTGTTTTTCAAGGTATGTACTTTCTTGATTGTTTTCCTTTTTAAGACTTTGGTGACAGAATATGTGAAAAGCTGTCCAGTGGGAATCCTGTTAGAAGCCATTTCTCTACAAGACTGCCACAATGACTTCAAACCTCAGGAAGGACTAAACACTCTTCCAAAGGTGCATCCAGATGCCAGGTCTGTTGTCACACAGTGATCTTGTGTCTAAATGAGGGTTGTGCATAGCAGAGATGTGAAAGAACAGCAGCCCCTCAGGTCTGCAGAGCACCTTCACATCCTTGAATAGGTGAGGCATCATATGTTCAGAATGAGAGGGAAAACCTCGGGCTCATGCCTGTGGATAACTGGCATGCCTGGCCTAAGCAGGGATTGAGGTGGGATAAGTGAGCCCGCTGTCCCTCAGGACACACCATGAACAGCACAGACCTTGAACTTCCCGTGACTTCCAGCTTTGCTCACTCACAGTGCCCACCTGCCCCCAGCCTTGCTGTGCCTGAGACCCTGGAATCATGGAATCATAGAATTATTAAGGTTGGAAAAAACCTTTAAGATCATCAAGTCCAACCAGTCCCCCAGCACTGCCAAGTCTGCCACTGAACTATGTCCCCAAGTGCCTCATCCAGTCGTTTCTTGAACATTTCCAGGGATGGTGACTCAACCACTTCCTTGGGCAGCCTGTTCCAGTGCCTGAACACCCTTTCAGCTAATAATTTTTTCCCTAACATCCAACTTAAACCTCCTCTGGTGCAACTTCAGACCCTTTCCTCTCATCCTTTTTTGTTCCCTGGGAGCAAAGCCCGACTGTCCCCCCCGGCTCCACCCTCCTTTCAGAGAGTTGTACAGAGCCATCAAGACCCAGCTGAGCCTCCTTTCCTGCGGGCTGAGCCTCTCCAGCTCCCTCAGCCTCTCCTCATCACACTTGTGCTGCAGCCCCTTCCCCAGCACCCTGGACACACTCAATGTCCTTCTTGTCGTCAGGGCCCCAAAACTGAACCCAGGATTCGAGGTGCCGAGTACAGGGGAGTCGATCACTACCGTGGCCTTGCTGGCCACACTATTGCCGATACAAGCCAGGCGTCCTGCCTTTGGCCTCGATGGCCCCCTGGGCACACACCGCCCCTCGGCGACCCAGCTCCGCCCCCCTGTCCCGCCGTGTCCCATCCCCTTCCCCTCCCCGTTCCCGTCCCTGTTCCCTCCCCGTTCCCGTTCCCTCCCCGTTCCCGCCGTGTCCGCGCGCTCCGGGCTCAGCTCTCCCGGCACCGTTGGCGGCGCGGCGCGGGGGCGCCCCCTGGCGGATGGGCCGGCGCATGGGGCGCTGCCGTGAGGGCGGCGCGGCCGCGGGCGGGACCCGCCGGGCGCGGGGCAGGAGCGCGGGGGGATCCTCGCCCAGGGTGAAGGCTGAGCCCCCCTGGTCCCCCGGCCCCTTCGATCTGGGGGCGCAGAGCGGGCGCTGGGCCGCCTTCCAGAAGCGGCACGGGCTGAGCTGCGAGGAGGCGGCGCGGCTGCTGCTGGACGCGTAGTGAGTAGCGGGGCCGCGGTGCGGCCCCGGCCCCGCGGGAGCATCGTTCTCCCGGCCGCACCTGCACAGCGGGGCACGGGCTTCGGGAGGTGCCGCGAAGGGCGGCGGAGGGATCCGGGGGGTGCGGAGGGAGCGCGGGCACCACGGAGAAAGTTGCTTTTTCTGCTAAAGCTTCCCCTGTTTTACGGCTCTCCCGGCAAAAATGCCCTTGGGGGCACCGCGAGGCTCAGCCTCTGAATCTCCACCAAATTTCCTGCGCTCGCTCTTTGCAGAGCGCTGCACATCATCGCCGCACTGTAATCAGTAAGTGTCCGTGGGAGGGAAAATCTGAAAGGAAAATGTTTTTCCTTTGCGTTTTGCGATTGACCCCCCACGGTGAGTCTGCCCAGCTGCTGAGGAGGCAACTCAAGAGAGAGGGAGAGGCACAGGCTGAGAAATTCCCTGATCATAAAGTTCCCCCTGCAATTACAATCTGAAATAAAACACGTTTCAAATATTATGTAAAATCCAGTTATCTCTGCTTTTTCCAGCTTTTAAATGGAGCAATATTAGCGGTGCTGGAGGAGTTGTGGGGAAAATTGTGGGAAATTTCGGTTCTCAGTTCCAAGCAGGTTGTCCTGTGGTAATAACCCTGGTTTCTGTAGGGTTGTGCAGGACACAGCTGCAGCCTGGGTGACACTGTGACCCAGGACTGTGGTGGGGAGCTCTCTTGTACAGAATAGAGAGTCCTCGAACTGCTGTTCTTCTTTCCTTTTCAGCATTTTAATTAAACCACAAAAGCAACTGCTGTCAGGACAAAAGCCATTCCCTACCTCACTCTGACACGTGGTATTAAAATACATTTGAATGGATACATTTCCTGGTGTTCTGCAGTTGCTCAAGGCAGACCTGAATAATGTTGTGTGTAGCCTTACTGCTCTCTTGGCCAAAAAAAGACAGTATGATCACAAGAGCTCTGTTGTTTCTCTCTCCAGTGAACACAGAGGTTTGGTCAAGCACACAGGAGGCTGTCACTGTGGAGCCGTCCGCTTTGAGGTCTGGGCTTCACCACATCTGCATGTGTTCAACTGCAAGTGAGTTGCTTTCTTCCCTGTTCTCATCCATGAATATCAGCTTGTCTGCTTTTGCAGCCTCAGAGCTAAAAGATGAGACAGCTGCAGAACACCCTCTGAGCTGTTTCCATCGGGTTTACCCTTAATTATGTCCTGATCCAATGTGAGAGCAACACCAGGGATTTCAGGTGCTGCTTTTCTGGGCAGGACTTCAGGTCTCACAGCCACGCTCATGCAGAAAGTGTCAGGAGAGATCTAGTGAGTGCAGGTGCTCAGCCATCTGCTTTATATTTCCTCTCAGTCAGTGGGCTCAGAGCACATTGATCCTTTTTTAACTTGGTCTTCTCAAGTGACATTACATCTCTGACCACACGTGCCTCAAACTAAAACACTCTCTGATTTCATTAGTGATCTCCCTTTGCCTGCAAGCAGTTTGCTCATGGGTGGACTTCTGAACTTTGCTTTCTTGTTTGCAAAGTAATTAATGTTGGCAAAATTGGCCAAGCATGGTCTGAAAGATTTTTCAGGGTGTGTCCTTAAAGAGCTGTGTATGTGAAGAATATAATGTTTGGTGTAGGAAGACACCTTATGGGGGTACCTGTGTAGGGTCAGTCTGTTCCATGGGTGTGCTCAGCCAAACTACTGACACCACAAGTCCACGTTCACCACTTACCTCTGTGAAGCCACCCAGGAGCCTTTCTAACTGTCAGTGGAGTTTCTGTTGTCAAGAGGTCCCTGCTAGATCTGACTGCTGCACTACAACTTGTCCACTGCTTCCAGAAAGGTCTGCTTTTTCTTTTACAGTTGCAGCATTTGCAAAAAGAAACAGAACAGACACTTCATTGTCCCAGCGTCGCGTTTCAAGCTGCTGCAGGTAAAGTAAAACACAGTAAGAGTGTGAGCAGAATAACCCAGTGTTAGCCTGGATCCAAGCAACACCCAGTTTTCTATCTTAAGTTCGTGTGTGGCTGTTGGGGGGAAATGGCCAAATTTTGTACTGTCTGCTGTGGGTGTGTTAGTGCATCTTATTTAGTGAGGTGATGTTGGAGCTCTCGCAGTTCTGAGGCTTGACTGTTATGGACACATTTACATACAGAGCACAGGGGCTCAAAAAAGGAGCATGAATGCAGAACTCTGTGCATCAAGATAGGAAGGTGGTATTTTAAATTTTACATTTCTTAGCTATAGGCCTAAAGTAATTTATCCATGTATTTATATAGAAACCTTATTTATATAGAAAACTGCTTTTCATTGGCTTAGGGTGCTGATAATTTGACAACATACACCTTCAACACCCACCGTGCCCAGCACACGTTCTGCAAGACCTGTGGTGTCCAGAGCTTTTATACTCCTCGTTCCAACCCAGATGGTTATGGTAGGTACAAAGGGGAAGCTGTTGTAACCAAACTTAACCACCAAGCAACCCTTGGGTAAAGCCTCCATTGGATGCCAACATGACAGCAGGGAGTACCATGTGTCTTAAGAGTTTGTCCCTAAAGTGTTAAACATCTGGAACTGCAGCCTGAACCTGTAGCTCCTCCATAAGAAAGCCTTACCTGTGATGTGTGGGCTCGTGCCTGGGACAGGATTCTCATCCAGGCTCCTCAGCCTTACAGCAGTAGCATTTATATTCCCTGAGATGCCCCATCCACGGAGTGGTGCAGGCATCTCCCTCATTTTCTGAGAAGCAGGTTTCTAGGTACTCTGTCTTTCTGCAGGAATAGCTCCCCATTGCCTGGATGATGGCACCGTGCAGACCATTATCACAGAGGATTTCAATGGCAATGAATGGGAGAAAGCAGTGGGGGAGCATAAGACCATCAGAGACATGTCAAAACCTTGACACAGCCTTCCAGCAACTGAACTTGGAGCACTGCTGTGGAACTGCAGTCTGGGATTTCCTGGGTGATGGATGGTGAAATCAATTTCTACACTACTGTTATCTGTTCTCTGTTTTTTAAATAAATCTTTCTATGTTGATTGTCTCATTCCTTTGTGATTTTCAGTTGACAAACTGCCTCTGCTCTGTAAACCACTCCAGGGTTGCTAGTTTGGCACTTTGCCTCGAGCTGTGCTAAAGTTCAAGTCACCATATAGAAGACCTAGTTACAGTCTGGGTCTCTTGCACCTCATTCCTACGTCCTGCTGAGACTCTTGTGAGTTGATCTTGAGCCCCATGTTCTGAAGCAAGAAAAAATGCTCATGTTTCATGAGGGACACTGAGAAGGTGGAGCCTGCAAGACAATATGCATAAAAGAAGCAGCAGCAGTAAAGATCAGTGCAATTAGAGAAATTCGTATTATTTCTGATGTTTTATTCAAAAGCTTTGGCTTTTTAAAGTTCTGACTGAATAAGAAAGGTCTTTGTAGATCTGGTATCTGTGGAAATAGCATGTTCTTTGAAAAGTTCCTCCTGATATCTGGATTTTACAAAAGCACCAAGAGACAGTTGCCAAGCAGTCCTTGCAGCTGTATCTTTTTGGGGAAATAGTTTGTGCCATATCTTCTCCAACGCAGAATACTCCTGCATTCAACTCCTAATTAAGTTAATCCAAATTTCTCATCCTAGTTAAGCTTCTACAGTGAGAAAACAGAGTAGCTGTTAAACCCTGTTCATCTCAAGGTATCGGGCAACAAGATACTCAGAAGGAAGTTCACACGCCTGGTGTCTGTAGCCTGGAGAATGCTACACAAAGAGCACCCCGTCCTCTCCAGCACATAACACAGGAGTTTCCTTTAGTCCTGAGCCTGGCATGGTCCTTTTTTTTTTTGGTCATTCTTTTCTCCTGGAGTTGTGAGCCACGTCCTGCTCCAGGAGGTGCAGTGAATTGACCACCATGTACCGTGAGAAGAGCACGTAGAGGCGACGGAACCAGAGGAGTTGGCTGCGATGGCACCACATGGCCCTCTAGAAGGAAAAAGAGTGGAGAGAGCATTACAAGAACCTTCCAGGCCTCGTGTGAGGGCAGTTTCCTAGGCCTCCTGTGAGGATCACTGCCAATTTATAGGACAGCCTGTTTTCAGTGAGCAGTGGGAGGGGGGAGGCTGCCTAATCCACGGGGCCTCTCTGCCCGTGTTGGTGGTGTTGTGCTGGCTGATGTTCAGAGGGTCCTGCTAGAAAGGACATTATCAGCTGCAGATTGGTGCTGAGACAGTGTATTTATCACTTATAACTCCTCCTCCCCATGTGATCTCATGCCTGAGTGTTCACATGCTGGGGAAGCAGGAACCTGATAGGTGAGTATCTGGGAACATCCCTGCATTTGCTTCCGACCACACACTGCCAGCTGAAACCGAATATTTACAGTGCATCAGCCCAGAAAGGTCAGGTTTCAGAACCAAAAAACACATGGGAATAACGAACACCACCTCTGCCTGAGCAGTTTCCATGTGTAATTCTCCCTTTTAGCAGCCTCAAAAGCAGGAAAGTTCTGCCATTTGTGAATTAACAGCACTGTTTTCTGGGCAAACATTTTCCTGCCATGGAAGGGGAGCTAATCAGATTCTGATATAGGGAACTGTGGACAAATGTGTGAGATCTCATGCAGCAAAATAAAAAATGCATAGCAAAGAAGGGAACTCTTTGGACCACAAGCTGACAGGCTGTTTCTGTCTTTAGTTAGAGCTGTGGTCCAAGGATGCTGTTCCTGACATGGAGTCATGCCAATCTTTGACAGGCCACTCATATATTGGGAATATTATGTTGGATCCAGTCTTCTCTGAAATGTATCCTGAATCCTGGACACAGTGTAAAACTCAGTGCTCTGTGACTACTGGACACCTCTGAGCTGCAAATGGGCTCAGCCCCGTCCTGTCACACAGCACACGAGATTACCTGTCTTATCCATTCATGTTTTACAAGTCACTGCAGACATTCCTTAGTGACATTTATAACCCACTTATGAAATTCCCTGTGAATGTGACACTTCTGACTAAAGTCTTCACCGTGATGACGAGCCATTCAAGCAGGTTAAGCAGGTGCCACACATCTCACCTTGGCTTGCTCAGTCTCCTCCTCTGTGAGGATGAACAGAGCATCCCTGGGCAGGAGGCAGGAAATGGGCACATCCAGGAAGGAAATGTACTTCCTCAAGAGATTCACTGACTCGAGCACGAGCACACGGCACCCTGCACAGAGAAAAGGGAAATTATTTCAAAGCAACAGTACTGGAAGGTGCCCTTCTCTCCAGGCTCAGCAGGTCTTTGTGGGCTCCCTGTGCTGCTGGACTTGGGATCCTGTTGCAAAAGGGGAGCAACTTTTCCTGATGCTTCCACCAGGATCTCTTTGTGCCCAGTGCATGTTTATGACCACTTGTACTGGTTCTTATTCAGTATATGACTATTTGTACTGGTTCTTGTTTTGTACAGTCTGTTGAAAGCAAAACTAGCTTTGACTACCACAAAAACTGGGGGGGGTTTTTGCTTATAATTAAATTATTCCTACATAATGAGGATTCTCTGAATGCTGGCACTATATCACATAATGGAAATTTTAAAACAGCAGTCTCTGGTTCAGCTACCAAAATGAAATTTCACCTTTCTGTTCCAATTCTTAGCTACAGAATAAATATTTACATGTGTCAGGAATGGCAGTATCAAATATTAACTCAGGCAGGCAGTTACACTTTAACAGAGTTCCAGAATACATTGCTCAGATGTTTGTGAAGAAGCAGAGGAAGGTAACGTATAAAGATTCTGCTGGTTTGGAAGCTTTTTTTTTTTTCTGTTTTAAAGATCCCCTTGAACTCGAAAGTTAATTGCTATTTTTTTTACTATGGCTAAATTGTCTTCACTGATGAGCTCAGAGCTACTGATGGTCCCATTTAGAGCCTGTAGCTCTCAAAGGAGCTGCTTTGGGATTTCCTGGCGCTTGGAAGCTGCTGTGATTATGCTCCACACTTCACACATTGTGTTAAAGTTTGACAGAAGAGGCCAAAGTAACAGTTTACACAGGTGGTCAGAGACACAATTCAATTCACAATCAGATTTTCTTCAGTGTGCCCTGAAACAGTGACATTACCCAAAGGAGACACAGGACAAAGCTGAGCTGCTGCAGAGGCTCCTGATGCACCATTTCAGTGTGTGAAGCCTGTGCTCAAGTCTAATAAATGCTTGAGCTGGTGGTGCTCAAATGCCTTTCAGCCCTACAATGTCAGCAGGACTTTTATCCCTCTAAGGGAAAAGATTCTCCAGGACAGGAGCAGGAACAAAGAACTTTTCCCTACTTTGGACATTTGGTAGATCCCTCAGTTTAGCTTCTACCAACCCTGAGACAGGAAGGGAAAACTTGTTGCTCTACAATTTCCTGGAGACACAGGGGAAGCTCCCACAAGTCTCCAGGGTAGAGTCTGGCAGTCCAAGATGCCCCACCAGCACCATTCCTTCCCCAGCCAGGGGGCTGTGACACACTGAACCCAGGGACAAACAGCACACGCGGGACCATCCTGACAAATCCCCTCATAAGTGATTTGTGTCCCAGCCTCTTCCCAGAGATGCTGACTCATTTCACTGCAAAGAAAAGACTTGCTTTTATTCCAGTCAAAGCCTGCAAGGGCAGGACCTGGCAGCCCCCATAGACTCCCTCCAGCACATCTCCGGGATCTTTCAATTCCTTTCTTTCTTTTCTCTCCTTCAAGAGAAGGTTGTTCCAACCTTTCAATAGCCTTTTCCACTCTCCAAAGAAAAACTGGTAACTCCTTATTTCAGTGTCTCAGAGGGCTCCAGGGCCATGCTCCCCTTCCATTGATCCTGGGACGTGACTCCCCAGCAGGACGGACAGAGCACTCAAAGGAGTTCTTTTCTCCCGCTGCGGGCAGCGATGGGCAGGGGTAGAGGCCTCAAGGGAAACCACTGGCATTTCTATCCAGATAAAAGCTGACAGGAGTCTGTGCTGTGCCAGGATCTGGAGGAAAAGCCCTCCTGGAACCCCTGGCGTCGCTCAGGGAGCCGCCGGGAGATGGCGGTGTCCGCCGGCTGCGGGAGCGGGACCCGCAGCGCTGCCTGCGGCGCTGCCCGGCCCGGCCGGCTCGGACCCCTCCTGGCACCCTCTGCCTCGAAAACCCCTCCTGCCTTAACTGTGCCACTGCCGTGTGCCCACCCCCGTCCTCCCGCAGCCTCAGCCCCCAGCCCTGCAAGGTCACGGTGCTCCTGTGAGCAGCAGCTGTGCGATGCCATCTGCGAGGAGCGGCGGCTCTGCCAAGCTCCCCCGCGGGGTGCCCTGGACGTGCGGGAATGCAGGGAGCTGTGCGACCAGCACGGATGGCTTGTGCCACTTCCTGACCGCGAGCCTGAGCCCCCGTCTCGCTCCCGGCCCACCTGGACAAGTGACAGCAGAGCAGTTGCTGTTTGGCTGCCACCGGTCTCAGCTGCTCCTCAAAGGATGCTCTGCAGGGACAAGTGCTGCACTTGCTCACAAACAGAAGTGCCCTGAGGGTTCTTCTACTCCCACTACAGAATTTCTTGTTTCCAAACTTGGAAGGAAACTTGTGATGTGCCACGAGTGGGGGAACTCTTCTTCCCCCTTCTCTGCAGAGACCCTCTGGGCTGCTGCTGTGGGTAGTTTGAGAGAGAAGAATTAGTGCTGCACTGTGGCAGAGGAAAGGAATAGATATGGATCCTCTTACTCTTACTTACAAACACCTGTTTGCTTTTCAAACAAGGGAAGACAAGGCTAGAGCAAACACGGGGCAATGGATCTTTCCTTTCCTGGAAAGGTTGTTAATGGACTCTGGCAATGCCATGTGAATTCCTACTTGCAATGATGAGAAGAGAG